TGTTGTTTCTGCTGTCTTCTGCCGCCTTGAACCGTTGCCCCTGTGCCAAGCCACCCTGCCTTGGAGCCAGCTGATTATGGACTGAAACTTCTACAAACTGTGAGCTAGATAAACCTTTCCTCCCTTAACTTTGAGTGTCAGGTATTTTGTCTCAGCAACAAGATAAAAGTAACCAAGACAGACTGTATAATTTTTAAATAGTAAAACCAGCATTTGTCTTATGAGAAGGCAATTCTAGTCCTATTGAACAACATAGACTTTCTTCCCTTACTGATAGGTTTCCTTTGAAGGCAAAGGTTGTTAATTTTATTTTGTTGGAAAGTTTTTCTGTGTAATGTTTTATAAGAAATATATTTTTTAAAAAGATTAACAGCATAATTCACAAAAGCTAAAAGGTAGAAGCAACACAAATGGCCACGAACAGATGAATAGATAAGGGAAATGGGGTGTATCCACACAACAGAATATTATTCAGTCTTAGCGTGAATGAAACTGGAAGATACCAAAGGGAAAAAAGCTATTCAAAAAGAACAAATATTGTATTAGTGCTCTTATCTGCTATACCTAGAAAAGTCAGATTTATACCGCCAGAAAGTAGAAGAGTGGTTTCCAGGATCTAAGGAAATGGGAAGTGGGAGTTATTGTTTAATGAGCATAGATTTTCATCCTGGGAACATGAAAATATTCTGGAGTTGGAAAGTAGAGATGGTTGTACAACAAAGCAAAGGTACTGAAAGCCACAAAATTATACACTTAAAATTGGTTGAAATGGCAAATTACACATTACAAATGTTTTACCACAATTTAAGAGGAAAAAAATGTTTATGATGATTTCAACTGCATCCTCATGTTTATCCTTTTTCCAAAGTTCAGTTACTCCCAAATTCAATGCTTATGCTACTTTAATGTTGTGTAAAATGTCACCAACAGCTTTTTGCCTGTCTTAAGACTTTGACTTTGAGACATGTTTTTTTTTGTGTGTCTTTGAATTCAGAAAAAATAGATGTAGTTACACCTTGGTTTTGTTTTATAATTACAAATATTGGAAGTAAATTAAGAAGAAAAATACTCTCATTTTTGAAAATTGCCTTTTGTAAGTCTATATACATGCCCATTTACATTAAAGATGCAATAATAGCATGGCTTTTATTATTAAATATTTTTAATATGTATATTTAGGCATTATGTCATAGATACTTGTAAAATATTTTCTTATTTGCTAAAACAAATTCCACCTACTGGTTATATGCTTCTTGTCACTTTCTAAATATTTAGCCAAATCTTGCCACTTTTTTATTTTTCTATAGTGCTTAAAATATATTGAGAAAGTCTGAAAAGTTTTTTAAAAAATTGCTATTATAACAGCTATTATGAATACCTTTGTGGGTCAAAGTTTCAAACCAATAATTCTCAAGTGAGAGTAATTTATTGACAACAGGGAAGTCACTGGTAGCCTTGGCATGAGCAGTCTCTGTAACTGTATTATGGTTGGCTCACCAGTGAAAGGGTCAGGTTATTTTTGGAAGCTGAGTTGTGAAGAGGAACAGGGAGATAAATAAATTGTAGGAATCCAAAGATTGTTTCAAAGGTGAAAGCTATGAGTGTATGTCTAAATGTGGACAGAAAATGACGGGTCCAGAATGAGTTGCTGAGGATACCTGGGGGGAGCGGGATGCAGGAGCCAAGTCTGTTACCTAATTTGTATCAGGGTGCTGCAGGCAGTCTTCACTGTAATCCACGTTTATACTCACCACACCATGATACCACTGTGATACAGAGATAAATATTACAGCCTTAACACTGTTTTACATTCCAGTTGGCTTAAGAAGTACAATAAGAATAGACCCAAGCCTCGTGTTTATTAAAAATATCCTTGAAGTACAAAAAAAGAAGTGCAGATGTTTCTCCACCCCTTTGGTGGCCTTCTAATCACTCCTGAGTTTGCTCTCATCAGGGTTTGGAGAAATTCCTCCTCCCTTAGTCCTTCTGACTTTGTTTCCACCCCACCCTCTCCCCTCTTCCTCAGTCCCGGCTTGTCTCATGGGTGAGTTCTCCTTGGACCGGATGGCCCCATTCTTAGGGAATGTCCCAGAAGATCATCAAAATCTAACGTTGACACTTTCTGCAATGCATATTGGATTAATTCTCTTTCTTATTAATTTAATTAGGGACCACTATGTGCTGGGTACTATACTGTGCAGTGGTGAACAAGCAGACAAGGCTCAAGTACTCATGAAATTTATGGTCTATCATGAATGGAGGTGTAGGGGTACAAACGGCTAACAAGTGAACCAATCACTTTTTGTCAAAAAGAAAGTTGTAGGTAATGATGCATTCCATGAGGAACATGAACCAGATCCATGTAATAGATGACCACTGAGTGTTTAGATTGGTAGGTAGGAAAGAATCTCAATGTAATACTGCAAAAAAGCCCCAATCCTCCATTGAAGATGATGACAGAAACAAAGGATCTGCCTTGCTCCAACAGGAAGGATGAGATGAGTCAGAAAAGGAGGTGACAGAAAAGGAGTCTTACCCAGTCCTTCTCTTCGGCTTAGAGATAAAGATTCTCTAAAGAGAACAGGGCAGAGTTACTTCTCTAAGAGAACAGGGCAGAGTTACCTCGCTTGCTCAAGGCCTTATGACTCAAAAAAGACAAAACTAGGATTCCAATCTCAGTCTGGTTATCCCTTGAGCAACAGCACCAGTTCTAGCCTGTAATACTCTCAGGGAGGCATTGGATAGAGCAATTTACCTGGCTTGGAACCTGTTAACAAACTCAGCATTTCAGAGCTGAATAATGGATGTGTGAGGGAGCCATGAATAGTTTGGACACAGTGGGCAACTTCAAATCAAAAGTCACCGCTGTGCCATCTCATCATTGTAAAATGTACAATTTTTAGACAACTGGGTCTGAAAACTCTGCCAAAGGCCACTTAGTCTTTCCCTTCTTTTCTAGGAAGGAATGTGCCTAAATTTTCCCAGAAAAATGGGTGTTCCCTTCAGAGAAATCGGTTGCTCAACCTTGCTCTGTGGCAGCCAATTCCAGAGATCACAAAAATTAGGGCAAGATTTATTTATTTTCTTCACATCTGACCAAAAGTATTGTACAGAAACCCAAGCTACTGCATGATGGTCTGTGCTTAACCGCAGCAGAGAAAGATCCAGAAGTTGCGTTGCTTGGTCCTGTGTGAGCAGGGCCCTGAAGACTCTGTTTAGGGCCTAACAAAGGAGCCGGGCCTGGGGAAGCCACGGGAAACACTTCCGTTTTTGATTGTACCCAGTTTATGGGACTGTAATTCAAAGTGTTCATGCCAAATGAGGAAATAGCCTAGCTACTTTAAATAAATAAGAGCTAAAGAAATGAAAAGATAATTGAATAGTCAACATAGGATCTATGAGAGAAGAATAAAGAATTGGGGAAATAAGGAAAAGAAGGCTGGGTCAGATCAAGATGAGCATCTGTTTCTATTCTCCCCCTCCCCTCATGGGCATGCCTTCCAGGTCCCTTGGGAAGATCAGGTCTTCCCAAGCTCTGCTTCCTTCCTCCGCTCTGTACCACATTCTCATGTCCCTTATCCATTTCTCCATGCCCAGATTATTTCTCTGTTCCCAGACCTTCAGTTAATTCTCTCATTAAGTTGTGTTGTTCTCGGGATGACCATCCTTCTTACAAGAACCGGAGACTACTCCTCCCCACTGAGTGTCCAGGTGGAGACCCTCCTGTAGCTGCTTTCTGGCACATTGTTTGTGCTTACAACTTGTTTTCGGAATTGAATATCCAGCGTCTTTGCCATGCCTGCTGCTGCATGGACGAGAGACGGAGAGAACAGCAGACCCTGAATTCAGACCAATTCTCAGCAGCCTGGTTTCCCCACTCCAGCCCACGTTTGTGCAGATCTTTAGAATAGCACCAGTTTTCTCAGACTAGTGTGTTAGTTGGCATAGGGCAAAATTAACTGGGACTAACTTTCTCATCTTTCCGGGGAAATTTAGGTACATTCCTTCCCAGAAGAGAAAGGAAACTTTAAATGGGCTTTGGAAGAATTTTAAGATGCTTAACAGAGTTTCAAAATTTCAAATGTGGACTTAAAAATAAAATGAGAAGTGTGTCGTTCATATTATGGTTTTAGCCTAGTTGCCTGAGTCTACTGGGCGACTCTCCTCCAAATAGCAACTTAGGCTCTTGGAGCCTCCTTGGATCCTTAAAGTTCTCTGTTCAGAGGGTATGAGGTGGGAAGAGAGAGAAAAAATTGTCGGGGGAGGGTGTTATGGGTGCAGGCCGGAAGTGGCCTGCATCATTTCTACTCATATTTCTTTGCCCAAGGCCTAATCCCAAGACTGTCCAGGTGGAAGGGTATCCTTGAGCTGGTGTGTAGCAGTGTACTTGGGAAGAAAGGGAAAACGGTTTGATGAGCGAGTAACTAGTTGCTGGCCAGGATGTAGTGAATGAATCTCTTTTCTTACACAAGTGATCCTAACTCAGCGTTAAGAAAAATTATGGCAGCTTTAAAGAATACATAAAATGTCCTCAAAAGTTCTTAAAGTTTGGAAATCATCCCATTTTGACAGGCTGAGGTATGGAAATGAAATTAAATAATAAAAGTATGTTGAAACTTCAAACATACATGGTTGAGGTTCCAGCATCACAATGCTACCAATTTTTTTTTGGCGGCAAAACAATCAAGAGTATTTTAGCAAGTACTGGAGACAATTCCATTACATGTTCATCAGGAGGATGTTTGGGCCCTCCTCATTTCTCTCACTTTTCATATTTTCTTTTTTTTTGGTACTGGGATTTGAACTCAGGACCTTGCACTTGCCAGGCAGGCTCTTATGCCACTGAGCTATATCCCTGGCTCTTGCTTCTCATATTTTCAAAATTGGAAAAGCCTCTTTATTTTTTTTGCTTACCGGTATAACCATGACAAAAGTGAAAGAACAAATGAAAGAAAGGGAAGGAAGGAAGCAAAGGAGCAAAGAAGGGAGGAAGAATAATATTTTGGACATAAGCACATCCACGTTTATTTTTCATAATCCTTTTGGTGCTGTTTTATAGTAATTGATCACATTAAGTTTTTGAAGTTTTCTTTCCACCTGTGAAAATATAAACATAATTTTATTTCAGTGTTTTTTGGCATCAAGCTTAATTCTTTTTCTTTTCTTTATAGTGACTGCTTCATGCATCAACCCTGGTTCAAGTGGGGCTTCACTCCTGGCACAGTTTCCTGGTGAAACGCACATTAAAAATAATTATAGTTAAGCTAATTTCATATGCATTATAGCACGGAGGAGTTTTGAAAATAATGGCAGAGCTGGGAGAAAATAAACAGAGATGGCGCTACAAGCCAGATAAGAAATCAAAGGACCCAACTTCTGAAAACATCCAGTTTTACAAAATTTTCTTCACAAAAGCCACATGGCCCATTCAAATGGCCTTACTGAATATGGACGTAGAGGAGACGGGAAGGAGTCAGAATAGAACAAGTGGCTGGAACTAGCAATGTGCGGATTTGTTTTGAAAATCTTGTCGATGTTTAAGGAACTAAGCTTAATGTTTTTCCATCTAGTTCCTCCCTCCCTCCTTCCCTCTGTTCCGTCCTCACTCCTCCCTTTCTATCTTCCCCCTTCCTATCTCCCTCCCTCCCCTCTCTCCTTCCCTCTCTCCCTCCCCTCCCAACCTCCCTCCAACCTCCTTCCCTCCCTCCCTTCCTTCCTTCCTTCCTACCTTCCTTCCTAAGAAATCCCTCTAATGTGAGAGATGCTGTGTTGTGCCTGACCCATCAATACATCCTATTGAAGAGCATTAATTCACATTGTCCGGCAATGTTGAAAGACCTTAAGAGGGACTGTCGCTGGCGAAGAGGTCAAACAGCTGGCACATCTGGTGGGGTTACATGTGGCTGCACAGACACCTGTGAACAAGTGGGGAGCCATGCACAGCAGCTCGGAGTCTTGCTTCTCCATGGAGGGTTGGACTGCACTAGAAATGCAGTGCACTCAAAGAAGTTTGTTGGGTGACCCCATCCCTTTCTTAACTTTAACACCGCTGTGTCCTTCATTCAGTCAACATTTAGTAGACTACAAATGAACAAGACAGTCTTGGGCAGTTGAGAAGCATGTGAGAGAAGGTCATGCTTTTTAAGAGTGTACAGTAATTACAGCATGGTCAGGGCCATCTGAGAGGTACAGCCAGGAGGACGTCTTTTTTGGCAAGACCAGGGAAACTTCAGTGAGAATCTCTAGAATCTGTTCCACTGCATGTTCTCACTGGGCCTCGAGCATCTTGAACTTGTAGGCACTTTGGGAACTGAGACTTCTCTCTTGCATGTGACTAATTTATTTTACAACTTGTCCTGAAATGTATATGTCCAGTGCAGTCCAGATTTTTTGCCTGCCATAGAATTAGGTACACAAAACCCCTTTGGTGTTCAGAACCACTTCACTTATGAGGCCTCTCCAAAATTCTTCAGAATTGTCTTTTACTATAAGTAGAATGACCCCAGAGAACTCAAATGGCCAAACACTTTAGGTTGCTTGATTTTGCTGCTCCCATGTCAGTCTCTTACAGAAGCAAAAGGAATAGCAATTCCAAGGTCACACTGATCCTTAGAGAAGAGGTTGGAATCGAGTATGGTCAGAAGTCTCTATAGGATGGCTTACATTAGATCACATGATTTGCTTTTTTCCCCTGTGTGTTCATATAAAAAATATATTTTCTGGCAAAAATATATAATATCTGTAAATATGTTAGATAAGTTAATTACAGCTATGTTTGAGACAAATTGTTGGGGAAACTGTCTAAGCCTCTTCTGCCATTTTGCTCACTCTTCTGCCATTTTGCTGTCGACAAGCTAGGGCTGTGTGTCTTAATCAAAAGGAACCAGAGTGGGAATATTTCTCGTTACTGACTGAACTTGAGGTGGCTAAGAGGAGCCTGGGTGCCTGGTTCTATGCAAGCCACGACACCGGTCATCAGGACACTGCTCCAGGGAATCAAAACGGCCCTGATTTTTATACTTAGTTGTTCTACATAGGCCCAGAATTCCTAAAGATCTTTAGTTGGTTTTTAACATTTTCACCCTATACTTGTAGTCACATTTCCATGGTCAGTTTTGCTGCAGCTTATTTGAAAAATGCTTCTTGATGTACTATTAGATTTTTCTACTTTAAGATACCTGAGAGCAAAATTTTAGGCTTCATATAATGGATTACATGCTGAGGACAATAGTATATGCTGCTTAAAATACGTTTGGAGCTTTAAGGTTTGATATTCTACACAGTGCTTGTTGCTGCCCTCCCCATCCCCAGCCCAACTCTCTGTCTGGAAAGATTTTGAAAGAATTACAAGTGAGTGTTTGAATGTCTGTCACCATTTTATCTGCGTTTTCTTTTCACAAGCATTTAGCAATCATCTGAGTCATTCCTTCCTCACCTCCCACAAATAGAGCTGTGGGAATTAAAAAAAAAAAGTCATATATGACAGACAGAAGAGAGAGAGCGAGCAAGAGAGAGAGGGAGAGAGAGAGGGGGAGGGTGGGAGGGAGGGAGAGAGAGAGAGAACCACCTACCACCAGGGCCGCGCTGGACTGTTACAGAAGCTTGCAGCCAGTGGTTTGCGTCGTGTCGTGCTGCGGCAGCTCAGCCCCTTGATCTTTTGCTGCTTGGTAGGCAGGTTAGATCGCAGAGTGGAGCGGGCACCGACCTCCTTACCGCATATGTGCTGAATCACTGTCCTACCACTGCCCTCCGGATGGCGCCAGGAGAAGCCCGCTGTCCTGGAAATGTGTGCCCGTGAAATCGCACGCAGACGTGCGCGTGATATTTTTAATGCCCTTTCCCTTTAGCGTTACATGAATACGATCAAGAAGATACTCCCTTCTCTTTCTCTCCCCTCTTTTCTTATTTGTTAAACAAACGAATGCTTTTTTCAGAACCCTGCCTGCGACACAGCTTTCGTTTTACGGTTCTGAGCGGAGCGCTTGCCTGGCACCATCCTCAGCGTCGTGACTGCCCCCTAGTGGTCATACGCAATCATGCTCCGTCTCAAAAAGAGAATTTACCTTTTTGTTTCTTTACCGTATGTGTCTCAGTGCCCAAGAGTCCTCCTTTGAGAATGCGATGCCTTTGTTCTTGGAAATTACGAAAGAAGGATGATGAGTTTTAATCTCTATTTTGCCTCCTTTTCGCTGCAGTTTAAAAACCTCCAAACCTCGGAAGAATGAAGTAAATTAACCCGCGTCTGTACAGGCTCCGAGGATGAGTGCAACGGTTTATTCTTTGAGGATCAAACTGCCTTTGTCTGCACCACTCAGTTGGAGAGAAGACTACTTCTGGAATCTTATCCAGCCTCTTGGTATTCTGAATGACTTCTGCTGCCACTCTAATTATCAGCCAGGAGGCTTATTTGTAATCACCAGCTTTCAACGATTTAAATAGGTAGTTGTTCAACCAACCAGTTTTATTCAAAACGCAACAAAAGCTAAAATTGCATGTTGAATTTTATCCAGATGCTCTCTTCTTTTAGGACAGGCCAGCTGATGCAGAGAAGCTCCTTATAACATGTCAGAAGCGCGTTCTCACTTCACCAGTCCAACTGGCAGTCTACAATGAAATCTACAATTTACAGATCAGTTCAGTAGCTTAGCACAGCCAGCAGGCAAGGCACTGTAAGAATTAATCTGTTGTGTGTGCACCGCACCCAAACTTGTTCCTGAGACTTTAGACATGGGCTTTTCATTGTCTATTTGAATTAAAATAAAAGATGTTTTGGTGGTTATACTTCTTTTTTTGGTGAGCCAACGTCTTTTTCTTTTCAAGAGCAGGAAATTTTTTTTTTTGGGGGGGGGGAAGGAATGAGGAATAGGAATAGCTCCTGAGAGACAGGAGGGTCCTGGATGGGTTGCCCTTGGTGGTTATATTTTTCACCAATAAACTTTGAAAAAGAAATCTTAATGTAAATATCACTACCTAATACTTCCGTAAGAATCTTAAAAGTTTTTTTGTCTAAATTTTCTCCCATAATTTTGTGTACAAATTGAACTAACTTCTTCCTCTTAAAAAGAATCGAATCAGACAACATCTAGGTTCCTTAAGAATGAATTTCTATTTTCTCAAACTTTCCTTAGTCATATACTTTTTGCCTTCTGGATCATCAAAGAAACTTACTCTGAGTATTCTGAAAGCTGTAGAACTACAAAACTAAAAAGAGAGGTTCAAGACTTTTCTGTTCTGTGAAATTTGCTTGAGTTTGCAAGCCCCTAATTTTGCAGTGAAAAAGCTTCAGCCGTGGCTTGTGTGCCCTTTGTCTGAGTCTTCCCTTAAAAAGTGTCAGTGGAGTGGGTAATCGCTGTTAGCAAACGCAAGTAGAAACAGTTGCCTCAGCGCAGCCTTACCCAGCCCTCCTGCCGGCTCCCCGGGCAGACTCCCTCTTCTGCTTCGCCCTGTGGCTCTCCAGGCTCTGCAGATCCTCCCCTCCTTCCCTCCACTCACCGTCAGCAGATAATACGCTGCTTGTGTCGCGCAAGGCAGTCTATTTACAGTAACTCTTTCAAGATCCTTCTCCTCACTCAATGTCTATACCTGTGCACCTGTACTCTTATCTCTTCTCTGCAGAAGGGCTGGGATGACCCTCACTCTTTCCAAGACCTGTTCCTCTACTTCATACCCATTTCCTCAGAGCCCTGGATACCTCCTGTCTCTTCCCTCTCACGCCTTCGTCCTTGCTCCGCTCAGTGTCCCCAGCATGTGAGCATGACACGGACTCCCAGAGTACTGACGTAGGATCTGAGAGTTCAACTAGCAGCCCCCAGATCCCTCCTGAGCACAGAGGCCCCAAGCGGCTGCCTGGACAGAAGCTGCATGAGTCTAGTTGTGTGGTCTGGCCACCCAGGCCTCAGTGGATTGGACTGTGGCTAGGGACCGCAGCCAAAGCCAGCAGATGTAAAAACCGTAGCCAAAGGCAGCTCAGATGTGAGCCAAAACTACATGGTGCCCAAGTTGTTTGGGTGCCCATTTGGAAGCAGTAGAAAATGATTCCAGCTAATTTAACCTCTATGGGCTGGATAGATGCTGTAGCTCACATATCTACAGGAGCCTGGAGGATTTTGCTTAGAAAAGAGATAGAGGTAGAAACAGCGCCCTTGAATGGGGGTGAAAGGGGCATGCAGCAAAGGTTCCACCAGACTTAAAGCATCTTTAGCTCGCTGCTTCTGCTTCTCCTTCCGATGAGGGTAGACTGCGGCAGTCTCTGTATACCTGTCTGACTGTCCTAAAGGTCAAATGACTTGCTTGTTCCAGAGCCAGGCTGGAAATGAACAGAGAGCCTTGGCTCACTGATTATTGGGTGGAATGTGGGTTCCATCATGACACAGTCATTGACCCAGATGGAGACTATAGTGTCAATGCAATTGGATGCTGGACAGCTCCAACCAAACCGTGGTGAGTATAGGTGGTTACTCTAAAACAGTAGGCAGTTCTCCTGGATAGCATGAATGTGAGGCACATCAGGGAAACAGAAAAGCAATAGCAGAGAGGAGCAAAGATGAGATAGACTCCATGAGCAGATAGAGACTCGTGCCATGAAAATGGCGGCATGAAAAGACTAGAAAGGACAGAAGGCTGTCTATGCTAAGGGGTGGTGACACCATGCATGACTGTGCCGGAGATTTGGACACTGGAGCTGGCTCCGTTCTGGATGAGTGTGTAGCGTTACCTTGCTTACAGGCTCTGGAATCCTGAGAGTCCCTGAGGTACAAATTCCAGGCTTACCACTTTCCTGCTGCATGACCTTGGATGTTTCTAAACCACTCTTCACCTCAGTTTCTTCAAAAACCGTGCCTATGTCATATGGCTGATGTCAGAAATGGTAATGTAGGCTTCTAGTCCTTAGGAGAGTTTCTGGTATATTAAGTGTAAGATGTGATTGTTGCTGTAAGTGCTTCATGCTTCTCGTGATTTTACAGATCCTATTCTATTATCTTCCTGGGAAATTCCAATTCATCATTTAAAATTTATTTCAAATGTCTCCTCGGCAAATTCATCCAAGATGAATTTGGATGAATTCTGCTTGGCCTAAGCATAATGATTACCACAGTTTGTTTCTGTTCAGGTTTATACTTATTGAGTGACTATTGCATGTAAGGTAGAGTGTTTTTCAGGAATACTAGTTAGAGCAAAGATGACAAAGACATGGTTCCTTAAAAGCGTGTAATCGATAGAGACAGTCACAAATGCAATTTTAATGTCTTCTAATAAATGCTGCAACATACAGGATAGATAACATGGTTGTTCTTCTGTCTTCTATTTCTATGCTGAAAGAAACTGTCAGTGAGTCTTTGGTTGACTAGTATTGCATGTTTATATCTGTTTTCATGAGAAGCCACTTTGAAGATATCAATATGTAATACAACCACCATTGTTAATTCCCTACCACTTTGTTTGTAACTC